AAATAATAAAAAAAAAAATCATTCAACTTAATGTTTTACAATAATAATAAAAAAAAACATTCATTACATCATTATTGGGCATTGTCGTAATCCAACTTAAACTTAGCAAAATCTTCTTGGACTTCCGCCGCCTCCGGACATTCAACAAGGAACTGCTGCATGGTCGATGTAATGCCCAAACGACGGTCCACCCACTAAAAAAATGAAAGAATAAAAAAATATGACTGAAATTTATTAAAATAAAATTATTGTAATGAAATAACATTAATTAAAATTTAGTAACCAACTTACATAGCCGGTATTGACACGCGTTGGGACCTCGTTCTCGTCCGGCAGCTCCTCGCCCATGGGAGTCGGATGGGAAACTCGACTGTACCCCTGCAGGTAATCCTCAGTCGCCTCCCAGCGATCCTGTGTGGTGGGGTAAACATACCGGTGTTGACCGTCCCAGAAATCGGGAACTGGGTCCAGGCACCTACTGCAGCAGCCTCAGAATGCTCAACCTTGTAGTTCCTAGACTCCCAAGCACGTACTGCACTGATTGGCGGGTATGTAGGGGGAGGGACAGTCTGGACATACCCCAACTGACGCAGACACCGCGCAGGCAAGTACGGCTCGACGACATCGCGGTATCGAATCAATCCGCTATAAAGAGTCCTCGGCTCTATCGCATCTGGGCTGGAGCTGCCGTATGACAACCATTGCACCTATTCACAATTGCATAAGAGCATTTATACAATAATTATATTATTTTAAATAACGGGTAACTAAATTTAAATAAAATAACTTCACGTACATCGGAGGCAGTGAGTCTGTCGAGGCGCCGACGGATGGCTGTGAGCCAATCGTCTGACCGTGGCGCATTCCCTACGCTCCACGAGCGTGATCGTGCGAGACAGTCAGGACCGATGGGTAGACGCCCCCGGGGTCAGAAATCGGGGAAATACTCATATATCCAAGACTGCAGAAGAGTCAAGCAGCCCGACATCTGGGCAGAGTCCCCTCGGCTGGCAATACCTAGCTGTCTGTACATGTATGCCAGCGTAGCCGATCCCCATGAGTAACCCCCAATCAAATCCAAGCCGTCGAGCACCTCGTGCAGGAGCTTGGGGGTCACTCTACTACCACTCTTGTCGACGAACAATGTGGTAGCTAGCATCACCCACATCCAGGCACCTGCCTCATCCCTAGCCGGCCGGCGTTTCCCCCTGAATGCCCCCGAAATGGCGGCTTGGGACACCGAACCACGCTGCCAGAACGAACTCATGAGTTCGCCCTTTGTGGCCGAAAGTATCGACATGCAGATCCCATGGCAGGCGTCCGAATCCGGGTCCTCAGCGACCACGGCTCCCTCCACTGGAACGCCCAAAATGGCCCGGACGTCGTGCAACATGATGCTCATTTCACCAAAAGGCAGGTGAAACGAGTTAGTATCCGGCTGCCATCGCTCCACAAACGCAGAAATGAATGGGGTGTCCAACTGGGTGTGCATGGAGTCGGCCAAATGTGACAGCCCGGTCTCGTCGATAAGAGATCTTGCATCGGAAGACATCTCTTCACGCCAAGCCTTCAGATTCTCGACCGCTCTCAGTCTGTTGTGGCATTTCAGCGGCCCCCTCAAATCTCCACTCCACATGCGGGAGGCGACGTGCCCTAGAAAGCTAGGGATGACACTCCCATCAATGGGCCCACCGAGCACTGGGCCTTTAACGATCCAGGGTGCATCATCATCGGTCCTAGCTCGTTTGCTAGTACCTGCATTAAAATACAACATATCTGTATATATTGACTTGCTGGTAGATGCATTAAATAAAATATATTTAACAAAACATATTTCATAAGTTTCCCGTTCTTTTTTTTTTTCAATTAATGTACAAACGTTACATTTTACATTAATAAAATATAATAAAAATTTTAAACTAATTTATTATGTAACATTACTGCTAATTGATTATAACAATAATAAAAATAATTATAATAATTTTCTAACTAATTAATTGTATGATTCTTCTAAATTACAAAATAATTATACCGTAGTTGAGGAGCAGCCGATAATACTTTTCTAACAGTACCGATAATTTGTTATGATTAAGTGAAAATAATTTATGTTAAACAACAAGAAGTACGTAAATTATTTACCTGATGAGGATGAAGATGGGCCAAAACGCCCCTCAGCCTGTCGTTGAGGAGCAGCCTGTGTAGGACGAACAGCTTGTACCGGACGAACATGCTGTAGAACCGGCTGTACCGGACGAACAGGCTGTACAGGAGGACGAGGGTGGTTAGGACCTGTAGGCTGTGCGTGGTCCTGATCATCTGAAGAGTCGTCCGAGTCATCCTCTCTGGACCCTGCTCCCTCTCGCCGTACGACTCATCATCAGCATACCCCTGCTGACCATAAGGTAATGGTACGCGTGCGCAAGGGGGTATCTACGCAGGGAAAAGCATATCTCGGCTGATTGTACGGTCCTGGTGCCGGAGGCATCGAACTGCCCGCCTGGCCAGGATAATAAAATCCATGCTCGCCCTACGGGAGGAATCCGTGGGGTCGCGAACTATCTGGCTGACCCTGCGGACCATCTCGTGCTGGTGCGGGGGGTCTCGAACTCTGCCTAGCCTGAAGAGTCTGTACCCTCCGAGCCTCATCGATCAATGTCTGTCTGTCCCGACGAACGGACGCATTGACACCCCGACTTGTAGTGTGTCGGGTGCCAGAACCATCATAATAGTCATCGAACGCCTCGTCGTCGTCTCTGGCATTAGATTGTCCAGGTCTGCTAACACCCTGAATCAGAAATATAATTATTAAATTTTTCCATATGTAATGACTATTCTAATAACTATTAAAATAGATTATAATTCATTTTTATTTTCATATATAAATTTTATTAATTATTATTATAATTATAATTGTTGAGATTTATGATAGTTATTATAATATTTTAGTTAAATTATTATAATTAATACTAATTTATAATTATTATTATATTTAATTATAATTATCATTACAAATTATTATTATTATTTCTTATAATATTATTATTATAAGCATTTATAATATATAATTATTATTATAATTTATAATTGTTATTATAATTATTTCTAATTTGTAATTATTATTATTATTATTATTATTATTATTAGAATTTATAATTAATTACAATTTATTCAACTTATTATTATTAT